TTCCCCCCTTTCTGACTTTAAGAGGGTTTGTCTGGGTCAATGCCAGGAACAAGCCCACAGCCGAGCTCAGAGAATTTCCCCAGTACCTTTCCTTTAGTGTCTATATTTGCTTTGAAACTCACAAAGTGTTCTTTGGGGAGAGAGACATTGTAAGAACCTCTGAAAATCCCTACTACTTAAGCCTACCCACATTGATTTTCTTTTGCCTCTGGATCCAATAAATAATATTTATTCTTGGACTGTTCATTAGACTCATACTCTCATTTTTTAGTGTCAACAAAACAATACAGAAAACTTCTTTTATTCCAGGACCCAAACCAAAATGCAGAAATACCTCTGGCATTCATTTTGCACAGGCGAATGTTGTGACTGTATTTCTTTTAGCGTGTCCACGTGCCTGACAATATTTCAGATGGTATTAATGGTCTACCTGCAAGAAAGCATTTTCTGCCAGCCTGGTGCAAATTGCCAGGACCTTTAAGACACTCTTCCTCAACCTAGCAGTCGTGCATCACCATTACCTGTGGCTGGACCAAGAATTCACATTTGTCAATGCCTGGATTGCTCTTTTACATGTTTCAGAAATGGGATTAGCTGAGTATATTTTGGAAGACAGAAATATAAAAAGCAACACTTACGAGGTTTAGGACACATTTAGGATGTTTCATTTTCTGCGATCAGTTGATCTTTGGGTGGCCACCTTTGTGGGGCTGCATGGAATATGGTGATCTTTTCTTTTGAATGGGGGCCTGGTAAAGTTCTGAAAGCACATGGAACCAATGTGCCTTCTTTATACCATTAGCAAAGGGTCGAATCATATTACTGATAATAGTTTAAATAAATGGAATGTTTTTTGCGCCCCCTGCTTTGCATATGCCCTATCTCTCATCCTGGACCAAGTCCTATGGTGAATTGGAAACTGGGGAGACTGAAGCTCTGTGACGTACACGAGGTCACACACCTAGTCAACGATAAAGTTAGAACTCAAAGCCGAATTTGTCTCCAAAGCCCATAATCTTAGCTTCTATGCTGTATTGATTATGGTTTTAAATAATCAATATAATGTCTAATGAATAGAACCTATGTTTGCACAGATAGAGTGGAAAATTGGTGTTGGAAAAGTTATTTTCTGTGCCATACAAGAGTTTTCTGTCAGCCCTGGCTGGGTAGCCCCGTTGGTTAGAGCGCTGTCCCAATAGGCCAAGGCTCAGGGTTTAGGCCCTGGTCAGGGCACAAACAAGAATCAAGAATCAGCCAATGAATGCCTAAGTAAGTGGAACAACAAATCGATGTTTCTCTCTCTCCTCTCTCATTTCCCCTCTGTCAAAATCCATAATTTTTTTTTTTTAAAGAAAAAAATGAGTATTCCCTCTTTCAGTTCTTTAATCACAAGAATTTTACTTCTTTGGGGCTGCCAACAAATTTCAAATTTTGTTTTGGAACCATAAGGAGAGACTGATGTGTTAAGATCTGTTCAAGGATCAACTTGATTTTTCTCTGTTCTCTTTATCTTTTATCCCAAGTGGGTCCACCCAAGTATAGAAAACAGGAACTATTTCTGCGTAACTATGGGAGGAGCGTGTATGAACCAGTTGGGCCTTAATAATCACAACTCAGAGTAGCCTGCTCCTCACAATTTTATAATTCAGCAGTGCATGTTGTGTGTGTCTCCAGGAGTTGAAATACTTGATAATAGAATCAGTATTACAAATGCAAGAAACCGTAGGAGGCCAATGGTATAAAAATACCAATATCTGATCAAAAATGAGTGGGGGGTATACACACACATTTATTTTAAGTAGAACAAGATGGGACTAATATATTTTTCTCAAACTCACTTCCATACAGGTGAATGTCAGATCCACATAAGTAATTTAAGAACTATCTATTTGAAGATCTCTTTGTGCAACTTAAAGTTTCTCAGTGCGGCTGAGAACTGAACTCATTACATTGTTTTGTCTAATTAGGAATGCACATTTGCCTGTTCTTAATGACATTATGACACTACTGCTCACAAGGCCATCCTTTCTTGAGGATAGCGTCACTTTCTGTTGAAGAATTTATTTCACTCTTTGTTTAAATTTTCATACCAGTTGCTATATGAAATGTACAACTGAATGTTATTAAGGATTTCATATGAGTGTATGTGGATTTGGCGAGGCTCGCTCAGCTTTCAGAGTAGTCCCTGTGTACAGATTCTTATATTTAGAAGGTCGTTTGCTCTTCAATCAGTCTAGCAAATGGGGTTCGGGGCAAATGAAGTCATCCTTATGCACATGTTTCTAAAAACAGTTCTCTCTAATGTTTGAGATAAATTAAAATAAAAACCAACAAGAACATGAAAAGAGACTAAGAACAATGTTAATGTGGCAATTTAAACCAATTTGGTTTCCCAAATGGCCTTCCATCTTTCACAGCTTTTAACAGCATGCAAGATCGCTATCCTTAACAACAGAGACTATCAATCTGGTGTGGAAAACTTAAAACTTGTTTCTAAATGTCTTTAAAGCTGAGGTGGAGAAGAAAGACTCTCTCTCTTTCACTTCTTGAAGGGGGTAATGTTGAACTGTGGCTATGCCGTCCTCCCAATGTTTGGGTTGGCCAACATAGTTTCCCCTTTTTCTAACCTATACCATGTCCCAAAATCATTTCCTATGGAGCTTTATGCTCAAAAGAGAGTGGGTGGAGAGGAGGTGATGCTTAGGAAGACCAAGAGCTCTATGTATTTGGGAGGGAGTAAATCAATGCAGCTTCTTAATTAATTATTTTAGTGCATGTAGAACTCTGATAATTTGGAACTTTGGTCACTTAGGATTTTACCCTGCATGTTACTAAGAATATTGAGCTTTATATTTGCCATTGACTTCACTTATCTATTGAACAGTAAGTAGAATGAAGGTCATGAATATATTTAATGTTGTAGCCAACAGTGACAGTTACAGAAAACCCAAAGTAATGGAATATACTCAAGGTGAATCTGGCTGAACCCATTTGCCATTGCTCAGTATACTGACGTCATGACTAAAGTTCGAGAGGGGTCAAAGCTTATGAAGATGGATGACACCCCTCTGGATATCTGTTTGCTCTAGGGCAGGATTAAGAGTTATAGATACATATTCTTTTCAAAAAAGTGCCGCTTTTCTATGAAGACATGAGAGAATTTACCCAACTTTATTTTAGATTGATGGACTGTGAGTACCCAGACCAACCGGAAGGACCTTTGTAATAAGCTGGCTCTAATCAGTAGCTGTATTAACCAATACGGCTAACTCTTTTCACCATGAGCTTATCGAAGCACCACAAAACTATATTGACTTTCTATTTATCTACCCTTCCTTTTTTTTAAAAAAAAAAAAATACTTTGAGGAAAATTTTATATTATACAAGCTAATCCAATATTGTTGACCATTCACTCCATCCATTGTGCTTTATCCTTTGATGTCTGTATATTATGCTTTATGCCAGACAGTTAGGGTCCCACAACGTAGGCTAGAAACAAATTCATAGTTGCCTCTTTTCTGAGTTGTTTTATTTCTGGGTAGTGAGAATAATGAATGAGCCTCAGGGAATAATTTATTCAGAGGGGAAATGAATGGGGAACCTTGCAGAAATGTCCAAACACTGACACTCTTTCCCCATCCTGCCCCTCATGGAGGCAGGTGCACGTTTCCTCATGTGGAATCTGCCAGTAATAACTCCTATAGGGAGGTACCCTGAGGCCGAAATGCCATGGCAAGCCTCTATGCACTTGCCTGATGATATACTTAATTCTAATATTCTTACTGGCTTTAAGCCATTTTTTTGGCATAGTAAATGGTTTCCAAGCCACCTGTTTTGAGATTTTTTATTTCATTTTTTAATGTTGGTAATTTAGAATGGGATTCCCTAAGTCCTAATATTGGGCTGTGAGTCCAACATAATGAATTAGAACTCACCAGCTTCTGCTGATGACTGTGAGTTTGGTTTATGAGATAGAACAGTTCCCAAAGCACAGTTTCATTATTTGGTGATTTAGAGCATATTCATGAGGGGTGTGTTTCCACAGCGACACTCTCCAATTCTTAAGTATAGAAACCATCCAGGGGTGGTAACAGTGACAAAAGGAAGGGGACACACCAGCAGTGAGACGCATTGTGATTGTGGTTGGAAAGTAACGAGATATTTCATGCTTGGGAGAAGTGTCCCTACGGGCTTTATGAATGGATGCTGGTTCCAGAAGGACCTCTCACAGGGAGATAGGAGAGAAAGAGAAAGTAAAAAGTAAACATATAAAGCACCTATTATTAGTAATAAAGTGTAGGCCCTCGAAAGTCTGTAGCGGCTGTGTCAGTGTATTTGTAGCTGCTTTTGTTTACAGGCACATACAGACATGGACAATGGGGCAGAGGCACCAAGAGCCGCCTGTGAGGCTCTAGCTCTCTAACGCAGCGATGGGACGCCAGGCCTCCTCTACGGAGCAGGGGCCTCCCTTGGCCATCAGGGCTTCCATGGCCTTCTTTGGCCTCCCTGTGCCAGAAGGTAGAGCGGCTACCGCCGGTTGCGAGTCGGATAAGAGACACAGGCCCCGCTTCTAGGAGGGTGCAGTGGAGTGCGAGCAGAGCATGCATGACGGATGTCCCCTCCCACGTCACAGAGCTCATCTGGCAGGCGAAGTGCTCGTCGTTCAGGGAGGTCCCCGTGCCTCCAGTGGCCCGATTAAGATGTCGATGGGGCGAGATGGAAAGGAGTAAAGGCAAACCCATTTCTATAAGTGGCCAAACCTCCTACGGAGTCCCGTCCCATGCCACGTGTCGCACACGGGCCGGAGCACCGCATAGCTAAGGCCAACCTGACATCAAACCCGTCAGCCCAGGGCAGAGGGCCTTCAGCTCCACCTCTACTAACGATAAATTGATCTCTAGCTCTAAACACTTCATAAAACAAACCAAACAAAATAGGATGTGTTTAATGACTTATTGACTTTTCAGATTGTTCTTTAAGCTGTTTTTTAAACTTTAAAGGCAACACTGATAATGAACGCTTCCAAATGGTAAAACAGAAAATCCCCTTCAAATATAACCGGCCCGTAGAGGAGTGGCTGCAGGAAAAAGGTAACCGTCGTTAAAACTTTCATTTTAAATTCATTTGATTCTAAACCCTCATTTTTAAAGCCTGCAAATAAATGTTCCTTAAATGATAATCGCCTGCTGCATAAATGACTGTTTTAATTTTCATTATAATTTGTGTCAGCTTCCACCTGCCATATGTTGATAAATCATGCTATAATACATTGCCATTAAAATACAGTTAAAGGGACTCACATCTCGTTTGCTATCAGCGTGACAACCACAAACAAAACAATTCCAGGAACCTCTAAAAAAGAAATGTATTATGGCAACTTAACCACTGCATGACGTTATTCGTTAATTTATTTTAAATAGCCTCTTATACCGAAGCTTTCTAAAGACATTTCAAAAGTACTTTGTAAACGTCCATCGTGAGACTGCTTTGGCTTCACTCTCTGGAGCACGGCTAACAAAACAAACAAAAAATCAGAGACAGATTCTTGTAACTTAAACTGCTTAAAACAAATGTTGTAAGGGGAGCAGTGTTCTTTTGAACATTTGTTTATAAACAACGAAAGAAAGAGAAAGCTGAATTTTGCCTTTAGATTCGAACTTAGAGGCAAAATAATTTCATAAGAGGTGACTTGTGTCCGTGTCACTGATGGAAACTAAACAGAAAAGCAGACCTATTTTACACTTTGGTTGTGCAATGCCCTGGTGTATTTGATATTTATGCAACAAAAGTGTAAGTGGTTAGGAAATGAGTTAGAAAGGGAGAGGCTCATAAGAGGCAAAGCAGCAGTTTCTGATTTGCCGAAGGAAACAACCACGTGGCCCATAAAATAGGGCAGCGGTTACACCTGACGCTAGAATTTTCTGTGTGGCTTCTATTTGTTGGGATGGAAACGATTGTCTTTTAATAACGAAAAGTTTCTGTCTTTAAGAAGCTATTTATTCTTTTCTTTCCTGAGCCAGGGTAAGCTTTCCTGGTCTCAAGGTCTTCAGTGAGTTTTAAAAATATATAGAGATTTGATCGAGTTATAGATGAAAAGTAATTGGGTTATTAGTATACAACTTAAAAAGCAAAGGGTGAAAGGATTCAGACCTTTAAACATGGAAAATCCTCACTGAGTCTTAACTGTTTGCCCTGTTTTAATGTATGTGGTCTAATTAAAAAGCAATTAAGAATAACTTTAAAAAGCAAATAATTTTGTCTAGTAATCACCAGCCTATAAAGTCCCTTTAACATTTAAAGACGATGATTGCCTCACTTTTAAAAAGGAAATGAAAATTAGATGCATGTCTGAGTCTCATGTGCCTGAGAGAACTTTTTTGTTTCTTTCAATTTTATGTTAATAATATTTTATTTTCCTTCATTGCCTTTTGAAGTCTGAGTTTAAGAGCATGCCAGGTACTTTCATTTGTATAAACCATTATGAAGTTATTAGTAGGCTTTTAGTTTTCCTTATGACAGCATCGTTATCAGTTGGCTTTCATATGAAAGGATGCTTTTGAACACACTACGAACAGGAGGGGAGGGGCTGGGACAGGTGGGATGGAGGGAGGCATTCTAGTTTCTTAATCAAACATGTACATGTGTTTATATATATGCACATAATATTGAAAAGAATTATTTGCAAACTGGAAGGTTTTATCCCTCTACATTATTTTAACTGAAATTGTGCTTTGTTTTTTTGTTATTAGGGTGAGTAACATCTGTTCGTCCTATCGCTTTACCCCTTCCTCTGTCTAGCTAACTTCTCCTTCTAAAGAAATAGGAAATATATACCCCCAAATCTTATAAAGAGGACGAGTCCAATAGGGTACAGGCAGACGGGTGACCAGGCAGATGGAAGTACTTGGGACGCCTCTTTGGAGTGACCTCTGTCACGGGAAGAGGCCCGGGCACAGCGCTCCCAGCCTGTTCCTGGCCCTGTCTGTTATTGACTGCCTTCCCGACCTCCGACAATCCACTTAACCTCTTTCTATCTCGGGTTTCCCGTCAGAGGAGAGGGTAAATAATACTGCCTATTCCCCAAGGGCGTCCTGAGGGTTAATTAATTAGTCTTTGTGCAACACTGGCTGGAGACGTGCAAAGATTTCACTTAGCCGTAGGTGAACTTGGTGTCCAAATGAGGTAACAGTTCCAACAGGATGGGCACCCAAAACAAAACAAAGCAAAAAGTAACCTGCTGTAAATTCTGTACTGTGTTACCACCAATTTCTTATTATTGATGATAGAACAATTCTCAGATTGGCATATAGATATTAGATATGATCACACACAAGAAGCCATGGTTGATCATAATCAGTGACAATAAGGAGGCTGGCACTGATTTTTGAGAACTCTTGGGCAAACGGTAAAACTTTCCGATCGGTCCTCACGTCCTTCAGAGGGAGAGGGTAGTGATGGCTTTGCTTGCTTGTTTACTTACCCCTGCTTAGCTGAGGAGAGAAATTGTTCAGAGGGAGAGGTGGCAGGAGACTTAGATTATCCCACTGTTACTTTAGTGACAGCCAACCTTCGGGTTAACCACCTAATTCAAGGCCCAGAGAGCTAGCAAAGGGTATTGAAATAGAATAAAAGCAGCTCTAGCCAGAAATAGACCAGGAAACAGAGAAGCAAACAAACATTAAAATATTTCCCGTGGCACGATGGAAATTGAAACCTAGGCACCTTCTTCCCTGTCCTACCCAACCAATGTCTTATTCTCAAGAACTGATTAGTCAGATCTTTCTAGAAGGCAGCAATAGCCAGAAGTGGAACAGTGGTTTAATCTTATAGCCCCAGAAACGCCTTTCCCTTCTCCATGCTTGGGTCCATCTTCAACAAACAAAGGCCACTTTAAAGAGTGAACTTTGGCAGCTGGAATAAAAGACATCCATTATTTCTAGCCAATGTGATTCAGCTCTGCATTTCAGCTCTCTCCGACCCTCTTTTTATTTTTAAGCATTGACAGAATAATATTACCAGGAAAACAGATGAGGACCACTATAGGTGTGAAATACCTTCAGGAATATTAGAAATAATACAATGTTCTAACTACAATCAGAGCACTAACTGATCATCGGTACTGGACTATATGCAGAAAAGGAGATGAGGAAACACTATGGCTGGCCGACAGTTGTGCAAATAGAAGCTATAACTTGGTCCTGGGGCTATCTGATTTAAGATACTGAATTTTAGTCCCAGACATTGCCTGTTATTCAGCTTGTTCTCATTTATTTAACTTAAGCTGCCCCAAATGCCTATGTGAGGTTGGAGGCATATTTATTCTCAGCCTTCCATCATGGCATTTCTTTTCTAGTGAACTTAGTGCTCTCTGAAGAAGCTGTTGTCAAATAAATAAACAGCAGAGATACGAGCTTGAGTGTTACTCTGCTCTGAACTTTTTGCCTTGTACTTTGTGAGAAGTGAGAGGCCAAAGGACAGGCAATGATGCATAAGCGCAGGGCCCTGAAGGAATTGGTGGGAAAATAATGGAAATCTATTAGATCTATTTTGATTGCGGCTTTAGGATCTGAGCAAATCTGTTATCATTAAGGGCAGCAGATTCCATTGCCATGCAGATCCTTTTCACTATAACAAAATTATCTGGCCAGTTCTCCAAAGTGCAGTGTCCCAAGCTTTCCAAGGCATATTACTTGTAAATCATACCTGACTGGCACGCCCTTGGGAATTGCCCAATGCGTGGACTCCTGTATAAAGAGTTCCCTCTGAGCGGGTGTGTTTTCCCTTCTCTGCCTCTTCCATCTTGTCCATTATTACACGTTGAGGAGGTATTCCGCATTATACACCACAAATTCAAGGACAGCTAGTCATCGTGTAGACTTAAAGACCACGTGATAGTAGTAGAGGTTAAGAGCCCAAACCTCACTGTTTGCCTCTACTCATTTAGAGATTGTGGAGTGAAAACCTCAATCTTTCAAAAACATACTCCCTTTTATTAAGCAGGCGAGAATAGCATCACATTATTTCCTGTCATTTACAGCTAAAATATTTCAGGGGATTACATTAGGAATGAGCGGAGCGTTGTTTGATCACTGACCAAAATGGAGAAAAATTCTAAGAGGATACATTTAATTCCATCAGTAAGATTCCCCCCCTTCTCTATATAGAGAAGCAGAAGGAAATAATCTAGAGAAATAAGGGCACAGATGCCTTAAAATGCTGGGGGTTTTTTTCTGGGAAAGATCTAGTAGTTGGGAGGAAGAGAAACTGAGTTACACTATTCTCAACTCCATTCTGCAATGATTCCATCCTGAGAGATTTCTATCCCCAGAAGCATAAATGGTTCCCTAAATGGGAACGCCAAGTAGGTTGAACTTCTGATATTCTTCAGTCCATGAACATCTCTCAATATCATTTTCAGGACTTCTATGTGTGACTTCTTTTTAATTCCCATCCCCCTTTTAAACAGCAAGTATAGATAGAATATTATGTACTATGAAGATTCCTAGGAAATAAGGTGTTCATTGACTAAACATTCATTTTCATAAGTATGCAACAAATCCAAATCTCTTAATTGGAATTTAATTTCAGTTAATTTAATGTAACTATCAGGCCTAGTTTTTTAACCCAGTGTTCTGAGTGCCTCACAAAGTTTTTATTTGCCATATATAATTATTTTTAGTTGTTACATTACTTTGTAGGTAACACATCAGTGCAATGGGCATTTATGATTTATTACCATCATTGCCTGATCTAGAGGTTTCTTTCTGTGGTCCACAACTACTTACCCGAGAAGACTAAAAAACTACTCATTACTGCACCAAGGTTCTCCTTCCTCACAATAGAGAAACAGAGGCTCGATTATTCAAATTATCTAGCACGGTTAGCTAGACAGTGGAAGAGATAAACATAGTGAAATGTTACTTGCCAATATCTGCATTGAATTTTTATTACCTAATTTTCTCCCCTTTAATTACCCAAGGAAGCCTGGTTTTACAGGCCTGGCTCGTTCAGACCAGGCAAGGCAAAGCGAGGAAATGCATGGGGGTAATGATGTTTCCTCCACCCAACCCACTAGGCCGGCAGTTAACCATCTTCAACACCCAGGCGCAAATAGCCATTGGTGGAAAGGACAAAGGACGCCTCTTCCAAGGCCAGCTCTCTGGGCTCTATTATGATGGTTTGAAAGTACTGAACATGGCGGCTGAGAACAACCCCAATATTAAAATCAATGGAAGTGTCCGGCTGGTGGGAGAAGTCCCATCAATCTTGGGAACAACCCAGACGACCGCCATGCCACCAGAGATGTCTACTACTGTCATGGAAACCACCACGACAATGGCTACTACCACAACCCGCAAGAACCGCTCGACCGCCAGCATTCAGGTAAGGCTTTCCCCAGCTATTCACTGGGTTTGCTTTTCTGTCTTTGAGCCGTTGCTCTTATGGTCAGTGTTGCCATGTAGTGAGAGCGTGTGAATTGCTATGTTTGTGGGAAGGATGCCTACAGATGCTCACGGCAATAAGACCCGGGAGTGGAGAAAGGCACAGTCATTGCTAAAGAAGTTGCAAAGTCTTGTGTGCACTCATGGGCTGTTACTCCTATCATATTTCTGACTGAAATGGTAAAGCTATTATTCAAAATGAGCAATGGACAGCACTTTCGGTATGAAATACTCCCTCTTCTTATTTTATGACCTTTCTTTTCAATAGCAAAACGAGAAAAGGGGAAAAGGAAAATTTGTTATTATAGGAAAGACTACATCCTAGTGCAGTTCTGTTCACATCCTCCCGATGGCTTTACTGGAACATGAATTGTTCATTTTTGAAGGCAATGGGTAGCATTAAATCAAAGGCAACTGAAGCTAGGGATTCAAGTTATCCTTATGAAATGTGGTCTTTGAATTTGATATTCAGTGTTGATTAATTACACGTTTTTTTTGTCCGTTTTGTTTCTTTTATATTTTATCAATATCCTAATCACATTAGAAAATTTGAAGGTCTGAGTTTAGCTATGTAGGTAGTCCTTATTTTGTGGTAATGTTTTGTTGTTTTCCACTTAAAAGTAATTATGCTCAATCTAAAATTTAATGCTTTGCTGACTCCCTTGGCATTTCATAAATCTAGTTAGTAGGGGGTAGAAGGTTAATCGAGTTCTTCGCCGTAAGTGCTCTGGCATAAAATAAGACATTCCAACTGCTTGTGGGGAAATTACCCCTAGCCTAGTTAGTGTTTGTAGAAAATTCAGCAGAAACCAGTACTTTCCTTTCTGTTTCTTAGTTTTAAGACATTATCCAGGAGCTCAATTGAGTCTTTGATCAGCGGGCATTGTAAAGTGAAAGTCAATAATCAATAAACCCCTTTCTGTTCTCATTCTTCTGAATTAAGCTTGTGTGTGTCAGGTAGAGGTAAGCGTGTTGCCTTCCTTTTTCTTTTCTTTTCTTTTTCTTTTTCTTTTTCTTTTTCTTTTTCTTTTTCTTTTTCTTTTTCTTTTTCTTTTTCTTTTTTTCTTTTGGCAAAAGTATCCAGGCAGCTCTTCCATGACTCCACAGGCATGATCTGAAGCCCTAAGCGCTGATGATACCATCAGGCCAATTTTATGTGCCTCACAGAGGCTGCAAGATCCTGGTCAGCAGGGCGGCGTCCCGGCCCCACGTGCTGCTTCATGCGCACCTACACGCACGCCCCAAAAGCTGGCTTTGTCTCTGATATTAAAGCAATAACTCCTGACACGTCACTTTGCTCCCTGAAAAGAAGATAAAAGGCAATATATATTTCTATTACGACTCTCTGCAGCTCAAGAGCAGATCTGTTGATTGTTGGGGAGAACACAGCCCTGCGTGCACAGGCCTTGGCAGGCTTGTTTTGTTTCTGTCAGAACGCATTCCGCTAACTCTGTGGGAAGCAGAGGAGCAAATGGCTTTTTCTTCTTAGCCAAGGCTGGTCTCGTGAGTCTTTTTCAAGGCCCAATTTTCACTGACCCCAGGAGGACTTAATGTTACACGGGATTCAGGGACCGAGCCAGGGTAATGATTGGTCTTCGGCTTTCCCTCTTGCAGCAAGTACAGAAATGGGAGTAGATTAGGTGAGCCTTTCCGCACAGGGACAGAGCCAGGGCTTCTGGAGAGTGTAGGGTACAAAGCACAGGAGTCTCACCAGGATTATGACCTTAAACATCGCAGAACCTGTTCTCGTTTTGGTGGGTGTGGACAGCTGGAGGATGCCCTGCCACAACCTCCTGTCTGGTGTGTGTTTCTTTGCCTTTGAGTCCAGTAATAACTGGATTACATCTACATGTTTTTCCCTTTCGCTTCGACCAAGGCTATAAAAATGAGTTATAAATCTGTTGACGCTTTTTGTTTTTAAGGGTGTGTAAATACATACTCTTGGAGGAAATCCAACAGACTAGCAGAATTGGATTAGACTGAGATGAGGTATATAAAAGCCCCATGTTCTTTGGAAAGACCAGCTAGAGGAAATAACTTTATGCCAAAGGTTTTGGACATTTTTATTCTTGCCAATAAGCCATAAGAACTCTGTCCTGAGCTCTGTAAAAACTCATAGCCTGCCTTGTCTGCAAGCCTTTTCTGATCTCAAGTACATTCTATAGACCACATCAAGCCTATGTTTGGACTAGGGACCCTTGGGTTATATCCATGGTTTAGGACAATTCCCAGACTCTAAAGGCTTTGGGTGCAGAAGGTCAGTCTCAGAAGCTCTGATATGTCCTGTGTAATCCAGCTCATTTTCTTGGATAAAGTGGACTCATAAAGGTTTGATCTCTGGGAACTATTTCAGAAAAGAGGAAAAGAATTGAGGACGCCTGGATTTTATGTTCATCAGGCTGGTCACCCACTTTTCCAAACCTGTTCTGCCCTCCTTTGCTTTGATAACATTAATAGAGCAGGACTGTCCTAAACTGAAGCTCTTCCAGAGGGAATAGAATAGAAGTGTGAATCTGAAAGTATAAAAACCTGGTTGGTGAAAAATCCACTGGTTCCTTCTGAAAGCATAAGCTAAGAAACATCATTTGAGCAGTTTGTTTCTCATAGGCGTTGGGTAGTGTTGATTTCCAATAAAAAGAAAGCTGAAAGTGCTTTCAGTGCTGCTTTTAACTGTGTGAATGTGAACAAAATTTTTTGAGCTGATATGGCCCTGGGGTGAGTGCTGAAACCCCTGGGAGTAACTGGTGTTTTGATCTTTCTGATAATCTCGTTTGTTACAGGCTTGCTTGTGAATTTCATGGACTCTGTTGAATTACTAACAGCTATGGTCCCCAAGCATCAGGTTTTCACCCTATATTAAGTATGTCTCCAGGTGCTCCCTGAATAAATAATAATAATAATAATAATGTTGAGAAAGCAGGAGACTAGGTGATAATTCTCAAGTAAGGGTCTGGCACTTAAAAGATGCTCAGTAAGCATTTATTGAATAAATGCAAAAACAAGGTAAGCTTTATTATGTACATACCTTATAGTCATCTAACAACTAGAAATGGCATGGCTTGTGGATCGCTTTCCCTCCAGAATGATCAGTGTGCTTTGGACAATTTTATTTTTTTCCACTGGTAAGGCTATAGCACAGTGACTAGATGGATGTGCTTAGAGTCAGACTTGCCTGGGTTTAAAACCTATTTTTTCTTCATATTAGCTAAGTGACCTTGGGCAAGTCACATATGTTCTACTTAACTATTGCTGTGAAATCAACTTTCCCATGAAACTTAATGGCTTAACAAGATAACTACATCATTGGATCTCACAACTGTGTGGGTGGGTCGGAAATGTGGGCAAGACTCAGCAAGGCAATTCTTCTGCTTCATAGGGAGTCAACTGGAGTTACTCAGTGTCTGCTCTGCCCTGGAGGGTCTGACAACACTCCCATGCCTTGTGCCTTGGTGAGTGAACTGGAAACGCTGAGTGCAGCTGGGTCCATTTCCCCTCCATGGAGTCTCCATGACTCTCTATGTGGTCTCTAGGGCAGAGTAGTAGAACTTCTTTCGTGGAGGCTCAGGGCTCCCAGAGAGAGTTTTCTAAGGGTCAAGAAGTAGAGACTGCCAGTTTCTTACAGCCTGAGCCTAGAAACTGGCAGTGTCATGTCCACCATTTCTATTGATCAAGCAGTCACAGATATTTCTCAGTTTCAGGGAAGGAGGCATGAGCCTCACTTCTTAATGGGAGAAGTAGCAAGAATTTGCCTCCATCGCGTTGTAAAATTGGGGGAGTGGGGTCTGGGAAAAAGCACTACTAGTGCTTAGAGCCCATGATGGTTGTGAGGATAACAGTTAATGTAAGTAAAATGCTCAAAACAAGTACATCGTGAACTGTAAGACTAAATGTATTTTAACCTTATCGTAATATTCTATCCCAACATTTGGTATATAAGTCAATACCCTCTCAAGCAAGAGCCTCCCTCAGAAAATGAGGTCATCTCTGTTGATTGCTGTGCCTCTAGTTCAGGGAGATAGGGATTTGAGGGACCGTGAGAGTGGAATTTGAGGCTGAAATTAGTACTAGCAAATAAAAGTGTCTAAGGTCTCAAGTCTCTGACACCCTACTGCCCGCCTTTAATTTTTCTCTTCCAGTTTTAAACCAACCTGGATTTCTATGGGTCTTGGAGATTATGTTCTGCTATGAAATATGTCTACCACACATATTTTCAGGGTTACAAAGCAGAGGAGTGCAGGATCCTTGTCATCATGGAGTTTACAGTCTAAAGAGGGTCAGAGAGCTTGACATGATCTATCAGTGCGAGGCAGTGACCTACACACGGTGATGTGTTTGGAGTGAGGGGTAGTGTATGCGGTGGCTTGGCTGGATCTCACGGCTGAGGTAGGTTTGGAGCTGGGCCTTGTATTGAGTGCCATGGGATATGTGGTAAGAGCAACAAATCCCAGCTTGGTTTAATGTCAGAAGGTAAATCGTCAAAGTCAGAGGTGATAATTCCTGGGGGAGGTAACCAAGTGCACCTAGAACGGAGAGCGCAGAGAGGGGATTTGTGAAAGACGACAGACCCAGACTCTCGGTGTTGGCCTAAGCCTTCCCCACTCCCCAAAAGGGAGAGAGAACTGGGTTGGGCTCCCCGTGGGTCATACCACCGGCGATGCCCAACAATTGTATGGATATTTCCACTATATTACAGCTGACCCCAATGTCAGTAGGTTACTGCCACGGCACGGATAGGTCAACTTCTAAAGCAGAAAAGTTCGACTCAGTCTACACCAGGTTCCTTTGTGCTCACTCAATATAGAAGCCACAGCGAGAAGCAGGAGTCTTCTAGTGGTAACTTTCAGCCCCCAAGAGCAGAATGTTCCTGTGAGAGAGAAAAGGGCCACAAGGAAGACAGTTCCAAGAATAACGT